TAATCCACTGTGCGTATGTACCACATTTTATTTACCCATTCCTCCCTCGATGCACGCTTGGGTTGCTTTCACCTTTTGGCTATCGCAAATAATGTTGCCATGAACGCGGGTGGAGAATCTCAGCATTTTATCAGTAGTTCACTTGCAGCAATTGAAGACTCTGTTACAGATTTTAGATCCTGGGTTCTAGGAGTTGCAGGCATATCCGGGAGAAAGTGCACCGGGCATGCGGGCAGAAGACGCAGGCCGTGTTCCTCACTGTCAAACATCAGCTACATGCCCTTGGGTGAATCTCTTTAGCTCTCTGAACCTCAGAGGGGTCTGGGAGACTCAAATGAAACAATAAAAATGGAATGGCTGGAAAGACAGAAGGAAGCAGAAGAAACAATCGTGTAGTTGCTTAACTCTTTTTCCCAGCTCCTGGCATGAGGGAGGCCTGAAACATCGTAAGTGCTCAATAAATATCTGCTGAATAAATGAATTCTAGAACCCCTTGGTATATTTGATTCATGGTTTAAGTCTCCCCTGTGAGAGCATCATTAAATTGTGATAACTATGAGGTTCCATCTTTCTCCTTTTATTTCTCTGAACATACAGATTTCTTGGGACAATATTTCAGATAGCACATAATACTGTTTTTATATAGAATCTAGGGACAGCAGCATCTTTCCACGGGGCACTTGGGTCCAGAAGCTCAGAGCTGAAAGTGCATTTTAATGGAATAAAAATCCAATCTGTTCCCAAATTGGTTGGCCTTTGATCATCCTTAATCCTAAGTATTCTTTCAGGCTAATCTGATATTTTTCCCTCAGAAGTTGACCAATTTGCAATATCATTGACTCTAATGCCTCATTTGCCTGACATAGAAAAAGGACTCAATTTCCACCTTACAGCTGTGGCTTCATTATACATGCAAAGATTCTTCCTGGAAGGTTCCACAAGAAGCTAACAGTGGTTACTTCTAGGCAGGGAGGTTTGGGGCTTGGGATTTAGTCTAAACTCTCTTGTATTTTGGGGGGAGGAAAATTTATGTTGTGCATGTTTTACTTTAAAAATAAAAACACTTAAAGCACGAATAAGTGCTAACCATGTGTTCAGTCAACCCTGAGTCACTGGGGAAAATAAAGGTTAAAATGGCAAACAGCTCTTGAGTCAGAAGACAAAGCCAGCCCCAAGAAAATTATAAACTAGACAAAGCTGCTTGAGAGGCACTGGTTGTAGAATCTGTCAGCATTGTGGGAGTGGGGTAAAACTGGGAATAAATTCTAGTTTTGCCCCTTTTTAGCAGATTAACGTATTTAATATCCTCGATCCTTAGTTTCCCCATTTGTGACATGGTGATAATATTGCCCATCTGCTATTATTGTTGCAAGGATATTTGGAGTTTTTCTCAGGAGACCTTAAAGAACACAGTTCCCAAGGGAAGGCAGAAAACATTCACTGGAGTGTCTATTGTGTGCCAATTACCATGTCGTGTATTTACTTTCATTTACTCTTCATAGCTATCATGCCATGTACATATTATAATAGTTCTCATTTTATAGAGTAGGTGGAGGCTCAGAGAAGTTTAGCAACTTGCTCAAAAATCACACAGCTAATGAGTGCCTGAGGTAGGATTTGAATTCAGATCTGTCTGATAACAAAGCCCTGTTCTCTGCTTGCTGGGTCTACCTTTCCGTCCATAACCAAACCAGTATTCATTTAATCTTTATCGTGCCTGGCGTATTTAGTTCATTGTGTTGGATGACTAGATCACAGATAGTCTTACAAATAGGTGACTCAGTGTTATGACTACCTTTAAAATGGAACGTGGAGTTGCATGTGACTCAAGCAAAAAGTCCTAATATTAGAGAAATTATATTTAGGGAAATTGCTTTAAAATCTAACTTTCAGGGCAAATTCAAATGAGCAAACTCAATTAACTAGAATGTTTTTCAATGTATAATTGATGACTGATGTTATGCTTCTCGATGTATAAGTGGTGACTGATGTTATGTGATAGGTTGTTCATGTTAATTCTTTCAGGCCCTGAACCAGGTGTTGGGGACACAATGGCGAATTAGACACAGACCTGCCTTTAACAAGTTCGCCATCCTGTAGTGAAAACGTTGTTTGTTGGTGTCAACGGGTAGCTTGGAGGACTTCATTTCTCCAACCCTCGCAGCCTCCCAGCCATCTTGTTTTTGATATGGACGGTTAGAGTTTTCTCAAGCTCCTGTGAGGCTGGGCAAACCCAGCTTCATGTTCTTTTCCTGCCCCATCTCTGCACCTTGAAGCCCCCTGCGGGTGTCCTGTGGGGGTCCTGAGGGAGCTGCGCTGAGGAGATACCTACAGTGCAGCCTGAGTGCAAGGATTATGGCAGCGTTTGGCCTGGGGAGCCCAGCCCTGAAAGATGGGGAGAGATAAGTCAGCCCAAGAAGGCTGGCAGCAGGGAGCTGAGCCATCTCCATAACCTCAGGGCCTCTTCAAGGCGAGTGACCTGGCTTCACTGCACTTGGCTCTGGGGAGAGCAGTGAGACACGCAGATTAACAAAAGGCCTCCTCCTAAGGTGTGCCGAAGACTTTGTCTCCTCTCTTCCCACTCCCTGTGGATTTCAGAGATGGCAGGAAATTTCGTTTTATTCTCCTCTGGAATCCTAGCTCCCATCACAGTGCCTGGTTGGCCTGTAGCTGGTGCCAAATATGTGTGCTGTATGGAGGCAGGTATTGGGGAGTCACACAAGGCCGAGATGTAGCAGACCTCCTTGGCCGTCGCACAGAGGCAAGATGTGAGGGGAACAAGATTGAGGGTGGAGGAGAGACTAGAGCTTAGAGTCATAACTGGGGGTGGTGGGATTTGGGTATCAGGCTGCGTGAATCTACTCAATTAACCCACGGAGCATCAAGAATAATAATGGTCCCTACCACATAGGGCTCTTGTGCCATAATGTGAAATGAGGTGAGTAAAGTACTCGGCAGGATGCCTGGTTCAACTTAAGTGCTCCCTCAAACTGCTGGTATAGAATATGATTGGATGACTCAGGTAAGCAGGTGACTCTCAGCTATTTGCCTAGGCATTAAAAAAAAAAAAAAGGAAAAGCCATCATTTTAGTTAAATGTGTGCTTTAAATAGAGAAAGAAGAAGACAATTTTTCATGATTTGAGTAGCATTAAAAAAAAAATCTCTGAAACAATCATTCCAACTGAACAAAGCAAATGCAGGCCTGACTCACGGAGGGAACTTTTTCTTTTGCCTTTTTAAAAAGGTCCCGGCTTAGTTATATTAGTTACTCTAATAGACTGCAAACACCTGGATGATGATTGTTATTAAGATTCACTTTAGCTTTGTGCAGTTTCTGTTTTTAAAAGGCTTTGGTTCAGCTTTTATTTGTTTTCTGTATTTAAGCAAATAAATACCCTGTGTTTTCCGAGAGCATTTTGACTCTGGGTTGCTCCCAATAAAAGCAGGAAATAAGCTTGCCCACAAACCCAGATAAAAACAAAGGGCCTGCACCGCTGCCACACATCTGGTGACCAGACAACTTCACTAAATCTCAGCTGGGGTGGAAGTTCCTCCCGAGCAGGAAATGTGTGTTAGACACCCTGTAACCCTAGAACGAAGCCGGATCTGGGTTGGATGCTTCGCATATGTTAAATCATTGAAAGAAAGAAAAACAAAGCACTGCCTGGGTGGAGAACAGTGACTCTACCTGATGCAGCACAATGTGGTCTTGGTGTTAAAAAATCACTCTCAGGTAGTATGGAACTTTCATTCATTTCTACTGGGAGTACAGATGGGGACTACCATTCTGGAAAAGCCGTTTAGTAATGGGTAAAGAGAGCCCTAAAGCTCTAAACACAAAGATGTTCACTGTAACCTATTCATATTTTAAAATCAGAAACAAACTAAATATCTAACAAGGAGGACTAGGTAAGCACAGTATATAGTAGCTCTATTGGAAGGACTATTTATTATGCTGACAGTTATTAAAGAGAATGTTTCCTCCCTTCTTCCTTTCTTTCCTTCAATATTCAATTCCTACAATGTCCCAGGCAAGCTAGAAGGCCGTCAGTGCTATGTAAAACCAGAGTAAGGTAAGAGATAGAGATTGAGGTGAGGATGGGGTGAGCAGGCTTCTGTTTAAAATACGTATACCACATTCAGTGTAAGTCTCATTCACTGACAAAGCCTGCCTTGAGGGTGGAAGCCAGGCAGTTATCCAGGTGGCTTACAAGACTATGTGATAGTACAGGCAATGCCAGTAGAGCTTCCTCGTCTCCCCATCTGAAAGTAGAGCGCTCCTATGAAACCTTTTGTCAGCTGAAATGGCATAAAGCAAAGAAGCAATTACCATTAATTGATAGGGAAAAGATTATGAGCATTCCCAGACCCCCACCCCCATACCCAAATCATAGCAACTAACATGCAAAACCTAAAAT